GGCGCCGGGATGGCAAGGAGGGACCCTAATAGCGGGGGCGGGGCCTGTGAGGCTGGGCGGGGCCTGACGGTGGGACCAGGTGGTGAGGGCTGAGCTGGGGGCGAGGTGGGCGGGGCCTGAGTGACAGGTGGGTGGGGTCTCGTAGTGGGGCGGGGCCGGGCTCGTCTGGGCCCCGCCCCTTTGGGCAGAGCCCAGCATAGCTTGCGCAGGGTTGGTGAGCTACCTGGCTAGACACGAATCTGAGTTGCAGCCCTGTGTATGCTGTTACTTGGGGGCCTCTTCTCAGTGCCCAGCCTCAGTTTCTGCGTCTGCACAACGCAGACGGGAGTTGGGTTGGTGAGTTGTACCCTCTATCTTTCTTCACTTCCCCATGGCGCCATGGTCAGAATGCTGGCGTGCGGTACCGAGTAGCTCGAGTGTTCCAATGGGTCACACCCACTGAGTCTCTCCAGGTGTCTGGCTGTGTTCTGCTTTATACAAAGCCACGTGTTTTTTCCTCCTGGACGGGTGCTGTTTTTCCCAGGAGACTGCTTTCCCTTTTCATGGATGAGGAAATGGGCTCAAAGAGGCTGGTTGCTTGTGCGAGCCAAGTCGCAGCGCCCCTCTTTGTACCCAGCAGCTGTGGGGCTGAGAGATGCAAAGCAGGGTGGTCCTTTAGGTGGTCTAGCCGGACTGTCTCCTTTGGGAGTGCTGCCTAGGGGTTCAGGAATCTCTCTGAGCTTGCTCAGAGTATCCAGTGAGCCACATGCCCCAAGCTGGCCACGAGGGCATCTGGTTGGTGACAGTGGGGCCAGCTCTCTCCCCTGGCCCAGCCTGAGGAGTGGCGGCGCCCCCGGGGGAGAGCTGGAATGGGGAGCACGGCGTGGGGCAACGATACTCTCATCATCACTAATGGGGGTTAGTGGAGCCAGTTAGCAGAACCGGCCATGGCCCAGGAGCCACCCCAGCATGTGCTGGGGGAGCATGTGGGCTTTGTGTTCCAGTCCTGCTCAGCAGGTGCAGTGGTTGCTAGAAAAGCAGGGTCCAGGGGCCTCTCCCACGTGGGCACAGACAGGTGCTGTGCTCCACTCCTGAGCACAGTGCTGTGCTCTGCCACGTCGGGGGCTAGGAACCAGGAAGGCCAACAAGGCCTCGTGCCCCTGGAACTTACTGCCATTGGGCTTGCAGGGGTGTGTTAAAGGTTCACAGAAAGTGTGATGGTCTGTCCTGCAGTGTGGCAGTCAGGAGCCCTGGGTCAGACAGACTGATGTGGCAGGAGGGGAGAGGTGGGGGTCTAAGTGTGTGTTTAGGGGGGCGTGTGGAGAGGGATGAGGAGGGGATGTGTGTGGGGGCACAGTGGGAGCAGAGAGGCCGGGTGGAGGGGGGCATGTAGGCTGGTGGGTGTGCTGGCCTGGAGGCTGTGCCCCAGGAGAGCTGGGCAGCCACTGGCTGCTAGGCAACAGCTTAGGTGTCAGGACTGCCCAGCAGCTCTGTGGGGGCAGGGTGAGGTTGCCGCAAGGAGGACTGTCTCCCTGACTGGCCGGCTGTGCCCGATGTGTGTCATCCACGGCCAGCAGAGTCTGGTGCCATCTGGTCCTCAAACCCCAGCGGGAGCAGAGCAGGAAGCTGGTCCTGTGCGGGCGGACTTTGCAGCGCCATGCAGGCAGGCGTTAGCCCTGCCGTGGAGACTCGCGTGGCGGGTGGCTGGGTGTCGGCCCTGCCACAAAGACTTCAGCTGAACCTGCCTTCTTGCTGTTCCAGGCATCGAAAACCTTCCCTGTGAGCTTCAGAGGAACTTTCAGCTGATGCGTGAGCTGGACCAGAGGACAGAAGGTGGGTGAAGGCCTGCTGGGAGCTGGGAGCCAGGCTCTGACTGCTGGGCTCGAAGCCCTCCACAAAGGCATTGGGAGAAGACTGGGGGTGGCAGAGGGCTTGGGGGTGCTTGGGCCGATGGTCAGCACCCATATGGAGGCTTGGAGAGGGTGCTGATATATTGTCAGTTGAGTTGAGTTTCTTGGCTCTTTGTACAAATTTTCATAACCGTTACCCACTCTTTGCTTGTCAAAGTACCTTTGTTGTCTTTCCCTTTTTTTTTTTTCAAAAAAAGTCTGGTTTTAAATCATGTATGTGGCTCAGAAATTTAGGTGGTACTTTTGGCTTTTTGCTGTTTAACTCACTAATTGTCCCTGGACGTCTTCTCCCTGAGGGTGAGGTCTGCTAAGGTCCCGGTATGGAGACCTCAGGCATCTTCTCCCTGAGGGCGAGATCTGCGGGGATCCCAGTGTGGAGACCCTGGACGTCTTCTCCTTGATGGCGAGGTTTGTGAGGGTCTGCAAAAACGGCAAGGAGGCCACATGTTCTGACCTCCTGTAATCCCACAAGAGAAAGACAGGATTACCAGCAGTAACCCAAGGCCTACTACTGCAAGACCAGACATGCTGCCTCCCTCCAGCCCTTTCACCAACCGTTCCTCCCAGAGCAGCACCACCACCTCTCTCCTGGGTTTGATAATTCACTGCAGTGGCCACACAGAACTCACGGATTACGGGGTTTACTAGGGAAGCACCAGGCTACAACTCGAGTTCAGGAAGAACGCTCAGTCTCTCTCCCAGCCCACCGTCCCTCGGCCAACAGTCTCTTACAGTCTCTTTCCCAGCAGTGCTGGTCCCTCGGCGTCTCGCTCAGCAACGCGTGTCTCTTGTGTCTCTTTCCCAGCAGCCCGTGTCTCTTTCGGCAGCACGTCTTCCTCAACCAGCAGTCATAGAGAGTTCTGCCTCCAGGAGGCCTCCTTTTGAGCCCGGCAGGGTGGTCAAACTAGCCAATCATAGCATCAGAACTCTAAGCACCTGAGAGAGAGTGGGCACCTCCCAGAACATTGTTTTGTGCCACTCCCAACAGAAATACTCCAGATGGACACCTTCAGCAATCAGGAGCTCCTCAGTTGCTCATAGCAAATCCCACCTTGGAGTTTACAAAGACTTACGGGTAGAAAAACCACACAAAGTAATTTACTACACTGTAGGGTCCCAGCGTGGAGACCCTGGGCATCTTTTCCTCATGGAGTCAGGCAGAGCTGCCTTCTCTTGGCTGTAGGGTGTGACAGCTGGTACCAGGTGTTGCCAAGCAGCGAAGCTTCTGGGTCAGTTACTGGGTTTTCAGTGGGTAGACATGATCAGTTAGATAGCCCCCCCACCAAAGTTGGGGCTGATGTTACCTGGCCCAACACCCCCCTGTGTAGTCACATGGTTGGTCTTTCTAAGGTGGTCATGGTCACCATTGGCATAAACTCACAGGTGGTTGCTGGCTGGGGACAGAGACCAGCCAGATCCTGATGGTACAGTTTAATTGTGGAAAATGAGTTAACCTTTCCAGTGATGACCCACCACCACGTCAGCTTGTCCCCCATCGTGCCCCCTGACCCTGCATCAGGACAGCTCTGTAGGTGTGTACCACCGTCTGTACCTACATGATTTTTTTTTTTTTTAATTGTGATTTGGTGAAAATTTACAGAGCAAATTCACTTTCCATACAGCAGTCCACATACACTTTGTCTCATGATATTGACTACAATTTACCACAATGCAACAGCTCCCCTCCCACTTCCTCCTCATAGTTATCTCTTCCCTGTGTCCATCCCTCCATGCACTCCTGCCCTGTGAGCTGTCTCCCTGTGCATAAACAGCCCTTCTTTCTCCCATGATTGTTCTCTCCAAGGAGTGTATCTACCTCAGGTAAATGTTCAACTCATATGCCTGTCTTTTGTTTGACTGAAGGGCAGCTAGGGGCCATAGTCTCAATGGTTCCACCAGGCTCTATGAGACCAGCAAACCTGGTCCCCCCCCCCTTTTTTTTTCCCCAAATGACTTTGAGTTTTGTTCCACATTGTTCTCCCTCTCTGTCCAGGATCTCCTACATAGATCCACCTCCAAGTGGTTGACAGTGGTAGCTGGGCACCATCTAGTTCTTCTGGTCTCATAGTTGTATAGGCTGAGGCTTGCCGCATGGTGTACCAGTTGCTAGGACTAATTGTTTCCATGAATTTTTGGTTCTATTCGTTTTTCTGTGGTCTGAATGAAGGGAGATCATCGTTGCATCTAAGTGGCTGCATGCAAGCTTTTAAAATCCTAGTCAGTACTTGCCAAAGTAGGAGGTGGAACAGTTTTTTGTGTAGTATGTTATGCCAATTGAGCTTGATGTCTCCTGCGACTATGGTCCCGAACCCACAGGTCCAACTACTCACTTCCTCTGGGTAGCTGGCTGTGTACCTACATGACCTTTTTTGAATAAGTTTGTGGGTTTTTTTTTTAATGTTACCAGTTTATTTATTTATAGATAGAGTTGTGCGTTACTCAATGTGACCTTTCTTGCTATAGCCTTTGTGAGTCCCACACTGTGTTGGGTGGGACTATGGAAATGAGGAGCTTTGACCCACCAACAGGATTGGATAGTTTGCTAATAATGTAAATAAGGTGCATGGCACCCTTGTGGAGGTGGGACCATGGAAATAAAGTATGAACCCTCCCGTGAGGAGGAGGCAGTTTTGCCATCCCACTAGTTTTAAAATGAGCCAGTCCCAGAGGTGAACCGGGGAATCTCACCACCACCAAGAAGAAATGGAACTGGAGCATGTCTTTTGGACCCATGATCCTAACACTAAGAACTAGACCCAGGAGACTGAGAGCTGTGACACTGGAGATGGTGAGAGACAATGAGGAACAGTGGCAAAGGAATGGTGGCAGCAGAGTCAGGAGGCTGGCAAGAGATGGTGCAGTGGGCTTCCTGACCCATGGAGTGCGATGGCTGAGCGCTTTTGGGCAGGAGGCTTGCTGGTGGAGTGGAGTACCTCTGGGCATTTATTGGTGGAACCAAAGAGTTTTGTAACACTTGCCCAAGCAGGGCAGAAGCCAAGCTGGCCCATGAGGCCCAGGGGGAGGGGTGCCTTTGAGCATGGCTGAGAAGAGGCTGTCCTGAGTGCAGAATTGTATCCTGATCTAATCCTGAGTTGTAACCTAGTACTTCCCTAACAGTTGTTATGTGCTGTTGAGTTGTCTCCAACTCATAGTGACCTTATGTGCAATGGAACAAAACCTGCTGGTCCTGTGCCAGCCTCATAATCGCTATTACACCTGAGCTCATCACTGCAGCCACTGTGTCAGTCCATCTTGTTGAGGGCCTTCCTCTCTTTTGTTGACCTGCCACTTTACCAAGCGTGACATCCTTCTCCAGAGAATGGTCCCTTCTGACAACATGACCAAAGTAGATGAAACAAAGTCTGGCCAGTCTTGCTTCCAATGAGCATTCTGGCTGTACTGTTTCCAGGACAGATTTGTTAGTCCTTTTAGCAGTCCCCGGTACTTTCATCATTCTTCACCAGCACCACAACTCAAAAGCATCAACTCTTCTTTGGTCTTCCTTATTCATTGTCCAGCTCTCACATGCATAAGAGGTGATTGAAAATACCATGGCTTGGGTTAGGTGCATCTTAGTCTTCAAGGAGACATCCTTGGTCTTCAGCACCTGAAAGAGGTTTTTTGCAACAGATTTGCCCAATGCAATATGTCTTTTGATGTCTTGACTACTGCTTCCATTGGCATTGATTGTAGAACCAAGTAGTAGGAAGTCCTTGACAATTTCAGTCTTTTCTCCTTTCATCGTGATGCTGCTTATTGGTCCAGTTGTGAGGATTTTTGTTTTCTTTGTAGTGAGTGTAACCCATACTTCAGACTGTAGTCTTTAATCTTCATCAGTAAGTGCTCTAAGTTGTCCTCACTTTCAGCAAGCAAAGTGGTGTTGTCTGTATATCTCAGGTGGTTAATGAGTCTTCCTCCAATCCTGATGCCACGTTCTTCTTCATATAGTCTAGCTTCTCCTATTATTTGCTCAGCATACAGATTGAACAAGTATGGTGAAAGGATACAACCCTGACGCACTCTCTTTTTGATTTTAAACCATGCAGTGTCCCCTTGTTCTGTTCAAACAACAGCCTCCTGGTTTTTGTACAGGTTCCTCATGAGTACAATTAAGTGTTCTGGAATTATTCTTCTCAATGTTATCCATAATTTGTTATGATCCACACAATCAAGTGCCTTGGCATAGTGAATAAAACACAAGTAATCATTGTTCTGGTATTCTTTGCTTTAAGCCAAGATCCATCTGACATCAGCAGTGATAACCCTCATTCCACATCCTCTTCTAAATCCAGCTTGCATTTCTGGAAGCTTTCTGTCAATATACTGCTGCAATCATTTTTGAATTATCTTTAGTAAGATTTCACTTGCATGTGCTATTAATCATATTGTTTGATAATTTCCACATTCTGTGGGATCATCTTTCTTTGGAATTGGTACAAATATGGATCTCTTCTAGTCATTTGTCTAAGTAGCTCTCTTCCAAATCTCCTGGCATAGCTGAGTGAGTGCCTCCAGTGCGGCATCCATTTGTTGAAACATCTCAGTGGGTATTCTGTCAATTCTTGGAGTCTTATTTTTCACCAATTCCTTCAGTGCAGCTTTGACTTCTTCCTTCAGTACCATTGGTTCTTGATCAAATGCTACTCCTGAAGTGGATGAACATTGACCAGTACAGTGGCTCTGTGTTTTCATCCCATCTTCTTTTGATGCTTCCTGCATCATTCAGTATTTGGCCCACAGAATCTTTCAATATTGCAATTCGAGGCTTAATTTTTTTCCTCAGTTCTTTGAGCTTGAGAAATGCCTAGTGTGTTCTTCCCTTCTGGTTTTCCAACTCCAGGTCTTTGCACATTTCATTGTAATAATTGACTTTGTCTTCTCGAACTGCTCTTTGAAATCTTCTGTTCAGCTCTTTTAGCCTAT